AATCATATGTGGCAATGGGTGCAGGTCCTGGTCTAGCCGACCCGTTGCCACCCCTAAATGAAAGCCTAAACCTTCAACTTTTTCCATGATAATCGTACAACATTGATCTCATCAATATGCAACTCACTCGACTTTGCCAATATCTATAATACATGATCATTACTATATTTAAAAACTCAAAATCTAAGTTTTTTCAATTAATTGTTTGGTGATGGTTAAGCAGGACCCCATATTCGAGAGGCATTCAATCTTTCACCCGGAGGAACAAAGAGGAGAGCATATTGTCGCAGGAGCAATCTCTACTTGCTATTCTGACCCCAACTCCTGTTAATTGACATATCCAATGACCCTTTGCCTCCCCCTCTTCAAACCATGCATCCGACTTCTCCACCAAACCCTCTCTCTCTCTGCTCTTCCTCTCCCCTTTCTCTCTCATCTCACCAAAGACCATCCCACCCATTCTCTCTCTACTATCACTTGGCTTAGCCAAGAACACACCACCCATATTTCCAGCTGCAACTCCAAAATCAAGGCTTTTGGGCGAGCAGGAAAACCAGAAGAAGCTCGCCTTTTATTCGACAAAATGTCTCAAAGAGACTCAGTAACTTGGAATTCCATGATCACCTGCTACTGTCAAAATGGGATTCTGGACCAAGCCCGTCTCCTCTTCGATGCCATGCCCAAAAGAAATGTGGTATCATGGAATACCATGATGACTGGTTATTCTCAGAATCAGATGTTGGAGGAAGCTCGTCGTTTGTTCGATAAAATGCCTAATAAAAACTTGGTTTCTTGGAATGCCATAGTTACTGCTTACTGTAACTTGGGATTGATAAAAGAGGCAACAGAATTGTTTGATTTGATGCCAGAAAGGAATTGGGTTTCTTGGGTTGTGTTGATTTCTGGATATTTACAGGTCGATGAATTTGCAAGGGCTTTGTTGGTCTTCTTACAAATGAGAAGAGCTGGGATTTTGGTGAGCCAGTCTGGTATTTCCATGGCTATAACGGCTAGTTCTAGTTTGGACAACATGTACCTGGTTCAAAATTTGCATAATTTGGCAATTAAAACTGGATTTGTGAGAGATGTTAAAGTGGGTACCTCAATTTTGAATGCTTATGCGAAGCTTGGAGAGCTAAACTCTGCAAGTTTGTTCTTCGAAAGCATGCCTGTGATAAATGGGTTTTCTAGGACCACCATGATCAAAGCTTATGCAGGAAATGGAAGGCTAGATGAGGCTTGTAAAATTTATGAAAATGCGTCTGAAAAGACCCTTTCAACACATACAGCCATGATCACTGGATTTGCTCAAAATGGAAGAATTCTTGAAGCTAGAGAAGTCTTTAATGGGATTCTAAAACCAGATGTGGTTTCATGGACTGCAATGGTTGCTGGTTATGCTCAAAATAGTATGCTTGAAGAAGCTAGAGCATTGTTTGATAAGATGCTAGACAAAAACAGTGTTACTTGGGCTACCATGGTTTCTGGTTATGCCCAACATGAGAAATGGGAACAAGCTTTAATGGTGTTTTCTGAGCTTCACAGAGAAGGCATATTGCCCAGGCATTGGACTTATACCACTGCCATTAATGCTTGTGCTAATAGTGGAAGATTAGAATTGGGGAAGCAGATACACTCCCTCTCTATCAAAACTGGATGCCAATTTAATCCCTTTGTCTCTAATGGCCTAATCACCATGTATGCAAAGTGCAAACACATAGAAGATGCTTCATGGCAATTTAGCTCGATTACGATCAAAGATAAACTTCAATGGAGCTCTTTGGTTTCGGAGTTTTCTCAGAACCATGCTCTTGAAGAAGCTCGCCACGTCTTCGACAAGATGGGGATTCATGATATCATCTCATGGACATCCATGATCTCTGTATACATTCAAGCTGGTCATTCATGTGAAGCCATTGAATTGTTTACCACCATGTTAGATGAAGGCCTCAAACCAAACCCATATACCATAACTAGCATTCTATGCATTTGTGCAGATTTAGGGGTAATTGAGCTTGGAAAACAAATACATGGCATGGCCATAAGGCTCTGGCTAGACAATGATGTTTATGTCTCAAGTGCCATGATGTCCATGTATTTCAAATGTGATAGCACAGCCAATGCCTTTCGACTGCTTAACTTGATGCATCACCGTGATCTAATCACATGGAACATGTTATTGGATGGATGCGCACGTCATGGACTCGGCATGGAGGCGGTTCAAGCCTATGAGGAAATGATAGCAGAGGGGGTGGCCCCTGACCATAGCACATTCATGGGGTTGCTATGTGCTTGTAGCCATGAATGTATGATTGAGGAAGGGCGCCGTTACTTTGATTCTATGAGCAAAGACCATGGACTAATGCCGCATGATGGCCATTATGCATGCATGGTTGGGCTTTTGGGGCAATTTGGGCTGCTCTCTGAGGCTGAAAAGTTCATAAGGAACATGCCCATTGAGCCTGATTTAGAGGTCTGGGAGGCTTTGCTTTGGGGTTGTAAAGCTCACCTTGATGTCCAATTGGGCAATAGAGTTGCAGAGCTGTTGTTTCGTTTTGAACCCGATAGGCTAGAACCTTACATTTTGTTGTTGAATATTTACATGGATTTAGGCATGTGGACAGAGGTTGAAGAGCTGAGAAAAATGATGAAGGAACAGGGAGCAATGAGAGAGAGTGGTTGTTGTAGTTGGATTCATGTGAAGAATAGGGTTCATTGGTTTTTTACAGGGGATGAGAGACATGAAGAGAGAGAAGAGACTTATTGGAGGCTTGGAGAATTATATGAGCATTTGAGATCTTGTGATTATATGCTCGAAACTGAGTTTGTTATGGATGGCTTGGAGGAGGAGGACTTCATCGATGAGAGGCTTCCTTGGCTTCTGGCCACTACTATTGACCTTGCTGGAGGGGCCATACAATGTGGACAGAGACTGTAGTTTCTTTCGAGGTTCCTAAAGGTCACATTTGGCAACGGGAAGGCTAGGATTCTTTAGAATCTTTAAGTTCTGGTTCCTTGGAAGTCAGAATCATTGATATCTAGAAGTTCTGAAACACTTGTTTTATAACCTGGAAGTTCTAGAAAATATGGAAGCCTGTGTAACTTTCGACTCTTTAAACATTCAATGAAGGTTTCACCATTAGAGAGAGTAATGCTTGTGGTTGAAGACGCTTGAAGAAGGCCAAAGTTCATGGGGAAGACTGGGGGGAGCTCAACAAGAGAGAAGAAAGAGCAATGGCGAGGAGATAGACGACAAAGCGTCTTGGGAGAGTGAAAAAAAGGCGAAAGTAAACTTTGTAAAACAAAAAAAGAAGATAAGCTGCAGGTCCTTCAATTTTAAAGGTAACTCGAACTCCCTATTTTCTCATAAACTTTACCACTATTAGTACGAATGCCCTATTTTCTCATTTACTTTACCACTATTAGTACCAAATAAAAGATCCCCGTAGTAAATTGGAACTTCTAGGTCCAACTTCCAACTTTGAGACCTAAAAGTTCCGGTTATCAAATGTGCTTCCCATTAGTGGTTCTTGTTGAAAGCAGAAAGACAAAGTGGTATTCAAACCACCTTGGTGTTTGAGAAAAAAATTGTGTTTAGAAATTACAATTATATTTCTTAAAAACAAGGATAAGGCAATACTACAAAGCAGCTTTTTGAAACAGGGAAGTTCTCGATTTGGATCACTAATCGGGATCGGGCGAGGGTTCCCCCCTCTAAAACCTACTCTTCCATATATTTTTTTTCTTGAGCTTCTCTAATGCTTTTATAGGTTCCCCTAAATCCTCATTCCATAGACCCCTATTTTAATTATTATTTTTAATATTTTTTCTGATCACCGATCAAGACCGATCCACATCACAGATCCAAGAATGCGACATAGATCAATGGGGTGAACGATCCACCCTATTGATCCAGGTTTTGAAAGATTGTTGCAATGCATAGATGTGTTGAAATGTGTCCTTATATTACCCACCAAGTTGACAATATACGTAACCCGAATGAAACTACCGATGAAACTAATGAAGTGGCCATGGATCTTTTGAAAGGGGATCCACGAAGTCTTTTTGTTTTTGATACATGTCAAGTTTGACAGCAACCAAATACCAAATATAACTTTCCAAAACGCCTCTGTAGTAGTAAACCTAATAATAATTTTGCAGTCGGTTTATAGTTCATGAACTTGCTTCCAGTTATCAAACAGGCCCTATATAAACTTTGTCTTTTTTCTATTTCTCCAAACCTAGATCTCAGTTCCTTTCTTCACCCTTGACTTAATGGTTCGTTTGGGACCTCATCATCAGTTAGCATTCCTACATTTTTATGGGACTAGTCGAATCCTATTTTCTTGGGATGAAGTACGAGCACCATTATTTTTTTTAATGCTTTTAGGTTTTTCAGTGGTGATATTGCAGGTTGGAGAAAGAAGAGAGAGCTTTCCATTTTAGAGGGAGAAAGGGATTTTCTCCCACTTCAATTTCAGGGGAGGAGAGAGTTTTCATTTTCAGGAGAGCGAACCAAGGGGTTTTCGATTTTAGTGAGAGTAGGAGATTGTCTCCCAATTCAATTTCAAGGACCCAGGACAGGGGGATTTCCATTTTAGAGAGAAAGGGATCAAGAGATGAATGTGCTTGTTGAGTGGTTGCTTATGGAATTCAATAGGGAAATGTGCTTGTTGTGGTTTATATTTTTGCTTTCATTTTTATTTTTCTGAGTTATTAGGTGATTGTTGACGATATTCTAATTGCAATAGTTTTAGTCTAGCTAAGACTGTGTACACTTGGTCTTTAGAGTCAAAGAAGCTTGGCTTGGTCATGGATTATGCATTGATATAAGTACTGTATTAATCTTGGAGATTACTTCTGATTATTCTCTTATTAGGCTTGTAATTTTAGTTTTTATGTTGAATTGAGCTTCTTTTCGTATTTTCACTGATTTTATGCTTTACTTTTATGAAATATACTTGCTCTTTGAAATTCAATGTCCTGATGCAGTCCATTTGTCGCCATTCGCCATTTGCATATGATTTTTATGTATCACAAATCCGTAATCTGTGATATCATTTTATAGATGTATTTAACCGAAATTTAGCATATTCGAGGTTGTGAAAGTTTTCAGATTTACTGCCATAAAGCCTATTAGTCCAATTTTATTGTGATAATAAAATTGCGTATCACCATACCTTAATAAGTTTGTCTCTAAGAACATGAAATATGCTATGTTTTGATATCTCTTCTTTAATTTTGTCATGAGAAAGCACTTTGAATTTTTTTCATGAGAAAGCAAGTCGAATTTTTTAATAATTTATTAATAATCATGCGACAGAAAGGGATTCCTGGATAATATCCCTCCAAAATACCTCACTGATAATAAGGCACGGATGGCAATTGTGACTGTGGTTTTATGTTGCTCACAAGTCTTCTTGTAATACCCTTTATTTTTTTTGTCATAAAAGTTTATTCTTTAGGTTGATGGAAATAAAAATAACATGTGAAATTATGTACTCAAGGAATTGGAGTGTTTTCTACTCTTGGCTTTAGGCAGAGATTTGCCTCTTGTTCTTGGGTCAGTGCTTGCTCAGGTTATTTTGTACCTCAACCTCGTATATTCCCGATGATACTCCACATACAAGTGTGCTAACACACGCATATAAGCACATGCACAGATGCGAGCAAACACACGTATGTTTCAATTTGGATTTGTTCATGGTTGTTTGTATTGAGATTCCACAATTCTTGTTAGCCAGTCACTTGTCATCAATATTTCACTAAGAGTAGATCCTGTACTATTGACAGAGTCCTCTATGAAAATGTTACATAGAGCATAGTACTCTAAGATTTGTTAACTTTTTGCTCATTAAAAATAAAAAACAGCAATAAATTTTGTGAGATTCATGTCAGTGAGCGTCTAAGACCCTTTTACATGTAATGAGCCAGGGGTCCCTGGTTATCTGTTGCATTATCTATGACTAGTGAGAGCTCTTTCA